AGGATGTATGGCTGCAGTTTTTAAGAGTACATGGGGCTACTCTAGGTGTGGTTTACGCCTGCCAGGGCTCCCTAAACCCTAAAACCTAAACCCTGAACCCTAAACCCTAAACCCTAAACCCTAAACCCTAAACCCTAAACCCTAAACCCTAAACCCCTGGCTTTGCGGAGGCCGTCGGATCCTGTTTCTCGCGACGCCTCTGCGCACGCCAGCGCTGCGCCCAAGATGGGGTCCAAGGGTTTAGGGTTTAGGGTTTACGGTTCAGGGTCTAGGGTTTAGGGTTTAGGCCGCAGAGTTTGGGTATAGGGTTTAGGCTTTGGGGGTTAGGGTTTAGGGTTTAGTAAGGTTTAGTAAGGTTTAGTAAGGTTTAGCAAGGTTTAGTAAGGTTTAGTAAGGTTTAGTAAGGTTTAGGAAGGTTGAGTAAGGTTTAGCAAGGTTTAGTAAGGTTTATTCAGGTTTAGTAAGGTTTAATTAGTAAGGTTAGTAAGGATTAGGGATTAGGGGTTCAATCCTGGGCTGAGTGGAAGATATGCCTTGGTAAGCAGCCGACCCTGGCGCGTCCTAAGCTACAGCCCCCTGTGGCCTAAAACCTAGCGCCTAGCCTCCTGAAGGGCAGTTTTATCTACTGGTACTATTTCCTCAAGCCCCCTAAGCCTTAAACTCTAAACCCTAAACCGCCCTAAACTGCCCTAAGCCCTAAGCCTTGTGCTACCCGTAAAGATAGACTGCGACAGTTCCTAACAGGCCCTACTGCAGAGCCTTGACGCCGCCAACCCTAAACCCTAAACCCTAAACCCTAAACCCTAAACCCTAAACCCTAAACCCTAAACCCTAAACCCTAACCCTAAACCCTAAACCCTAAACCCTACACCCTACACCCTACACCCTACACCCTAAACCCACTCACCCTAAACCCTATAAACCCTCAAACCCTAAACCCTAAATCGTTAGGCTAGGGCTTTAAGCCCTAACCCCTTAACCCTAAACCCTCTAACCCTAAACCTCAAACCCTAAACCCTACACCCGAAACCCTAAACCCTACGTCATGAGGCTATGGAATGCCCTGCTGAGGCGCACAGCAAGCCGATGCTGAGGCTGCTCTCCAGGCTCGCTCTTCGCGCGCGCTTGCGCTTGCTTCTACGAAACAGAGACTGGGGTTTAGGGTTTATTTAGGAGGTCAGGGTTTCAGGGTTTGGGGCTTAGGGTTGGGGGATTGTGGTTTGCGGTTTAGGTTTTTAGGTTTAGGGTTTGGGGTTGAGGGTTTAGGGTTTGGGGTTTAGGTTTTTAGGGTTTGGGGTGTAGGGTTTTAGGGTTTAGGGTTTGGGGCTTTAGGGTTTTAGGGTTTGGGGTTTAGGGTTTTAGGGTTTGGGGTTTGCAGGATTTTAGGGTTTTTAGGGCTTCAAGGGTTTTAAGGGTGGTTTAGGTCTTCAAGCCTTAGCCCCGGACCTTCCCTCCGGAACCCTAAAACCCTAAACCCTTGAACCTTGAACCCTAACCGCCCCCGACCTCATTGTTGGGATCCTCATAGTCGCTTCGCCTGGCGAACTACGAATCTAGTTACCAGGATCCTTTGCCTGGGGTTGAGGGCATTAGGGCTTAGGGTTTGGGGTTCAGGGTTTCGGGTTTGGGGTTGAGGGTGAAGAGGAGGGGGGGGTGTCGTGTTCGTGTGAAGCAGGCTTTGGATGGTTTTTTCATTCAGGTTCAAGGTCGGAGGCAGTAGGGTTTAGGCCTAAGCCCGAAACCCTAAACCCTAAACCCTAAACCCTAAACCCTAAACCCTAAATATGCCTGAACGAAGTGCGAAGCCGTCTGTTGGAAGCTTCGAAGTTGCGAGTGCAACGAAGAACCCCGTCGCAACCAAAGAGCGCGATGTCAAGGGTCTAGCATACACCCTAAACCCTAAACCCTAAACCCTAAACCCTAAACCCTAAACCCTAAACCCTAAACCCTAAACCCTAAACCCTAAACCCTAAACCCGAAGCATTTCTCTGAGACGCTTGAACCAATGATGGGTGGAAGCGCAAGCACTCCCGTGCAGTACTACCTGCACAGCACGTTGCAGTCGCAAGATGGAGGAGGGAGAGCGCACGTCGATGCTCTTCTTCCTGAAGTGCTACACGGACGACATCGGAGTCATCAGAATCGCAACTAGGTGACTCTGGTTCACCAGTTTTCGCCTGCACCTCCAAGAAGCTTCTTGGTGTCAAACCTTAAGCCCTAGAAGCCAAAGCCCTCTCTCCCAAACCCTAAAACGGTTTTGTAATGTTTTAGGGTCTTTAGGGCTCCAGGGCTTTGGGGCTCTAGGGCTTGAGGGCTTTAGGGCTTTAGGGCTGTAGGGCTTTAGGGCTTTAGGGCTTTAGGGCTTTAGGGCTTTAGGGCTCTAGGGCTCTAGGGCTTTAGGGCTTTCGGGCTTTGGGGCTCTAGGGCCTTAGGATTTTTAGGGCTCCGTGCAAGAAGCAAGGCCGCAGCAGAGTTGGTCGCGGCCTTGGGGACCACAGCTACCCCGGTGGTGAGCGGAGTTTTCAGGGTCTTCGGGGCTCTGGGGTGTTCAAAATTGTGGCTTCAGGGGTCGCTCTCTCAGCCCTAAACCCTAAATACCCTGAACCCTAAACCCTGGGGGGTTTGGTGCATAGGGTTTTGGGGCTCCTGGGTTAATTATAGGGTGGCTCAGGGTTTTGGGCTTGCAGAGATGAGAGCTCGAAGCTTCTAATCGCCTTTGGAAAACCCTAAACCCTAAACCCTGAACCCTAGATCCTAAGACCCCAAGACCCTAAGACCCTAAAGCCCTAAAGCCCCAAGCCGCGAAGCCCTGACACCCTGAAACCCCAAAACCCTGAACACACATCCCAGCCGCTGAAAGCCTAAGTGCTGCAGCCAGCGCGTAGTTTCAAGCCGTGGTTCTTTGGGAGCAGCGAAGCCTAAACCCTATAGGCCCTGAACCCTCAACCCTAAATCCTGAACCCTGATGGTTCTTGAGAACTGAGGAAGTAGTAGCTACACGGTCGAGTTATATGCAGGGGGTTTAGGATTCCTGTAAGGGAACCAGTGCATGCGATGATTGGGTTTAGGTTTAGTTTTTTTCAGTTATAGGGTTCGGGCGTTTAGGCTTCAGGTCTGTGGGGTTATGCATTGTCTGAGGGGTCTAGGATTTGATCTTCGCGGTTTCGGATTGGAGTTCGGGTTTAGTTTTAGGGTTCAGTGTTTAGGGGTCGCCGAAACCCTAACCCTAAACCCCAAACCCTACACCCCAAAAGTTTTTCCCCAAACCCTGAACCCCAAGCCATAAACCACAAACCCCAAACCCTGAACCCCAAACCCTAAACCCGAAACCCTAAACCCCAAACCCTAAACCCTAAACCCCAAACCCTAAACCCGAAACCCCAGAAAGACCAGAAGGCCGCTGATATCTTGGGGCTCAAGGGTGTGGAGCGGCACCCAAGGGAGCGAAGGGCGCGGAGCAACGATCGGAAGGCCGAGTGCGGTCGTGCAGGGGGTTTAGGGTTTAGGGTTTAGGGTTTAGGGTTTAGGGTTTAGGGTTTAGGGTTTGGGGTTTAGGGTTTAGGCTTTGGGGTTTAGGGTGTAGGGTTGGGGTTTAGGGTTTGGGGTTCAGGGTTTGGAGTTTTGGGTTTGGGGCTAGGCATTTAAATTTTGGGGAAGGGTTTAGGGTTTAGGGTTTAGGGTTCAGGGTTCAGGGTTCAGGGTTTAGGGATATGGCCAGTTCTCTAAATCATGGTGTTTCTTAGGAGAATTACTTAGACGTAGTGGATCCACAAGGGGACCACCAACTCAGAGAAGTGCAAAGACGGATTGATGGTTTCGGGGTTGGGCCTAGAATCAACTTCCAACTTGTCCACCTATAGTCCCTTCAGTGTACAATTTTGAAATAGACTACCCAAACTGTACCCATCCTGGTTGAAAAGGTCCCGATTATCGACTCCTTTCCAGACCCCAAACCCCGAAATCCCCGTGAAACAAAAGAAGGGGTTTCGGTTGTTTCAGGCTTCGGGGCTCCTAAAGTCTAAGCCGTAGAGGCGCTCAAGCCTAGAACCCTGAAACCCTACACCCTAAACCTCAAACCGTTCTACACAAAGCCCAGGGATGCGAAACGAGGGTCTTAAACCCTAAATGAGGGTTCAGGGGTTTAGGGTTTAGGGTTTGGGGTTTAGGGTTTAGGGTTTAGGGTTTAGGGTTTAGGGTTTAGGGTTCAGGGGTTTAGGGTTTGGGGTTCAGGGTTTAGGTTTCATGGCTTCGGGCTTAGGGTTTAGGCAGTGGAGAACCGCCCGAATTAGTGTAGTCCGCAAGTGAGTTTCCCCCCTTATGGGAGTTTCCCCCCTTATGGGAGTACGTAGGGTGTCTATTTCTGTATTCCCTTATTCGCTACAAAGAACCAGCAAGATTTTAGATCAGTTCCCAGGTCATGGCTTACAAGGCCTCAACACGCACGAGGTGTGGAACTGCCATTGCAGAGTGATGAAACAAGGAGAGCCCCTCTACCTGATTGAGTCCGGAATGAAGGATTCCACACGCAAGGGTGCAAAGGTGTCCCCCGGTCTTTGACAAGCACTTCTCCAAGCCCTGAGGGTCCATGTGCCTACATAGTATATACTTGGGCCCTAAAGCTGCGAAAACCCCAAGTATATAACCAATAGGTACATGGACCCTTCAGGAAGCATCAGCGCACCCGTGCAGACTACGAATCCCTCCACCGCTACTGGACTTTAGACAAAGGCGGCTGCATACTTCAGGAGATTTTTCTCCAGGAGGTGCTGGCGGAACCGCGGTATGTGCGGCTGCGACAGGGAACTGAGGACGGGAGCGGCCTGGGTAAGAAAAACTAGCTGCAAAGCTACATCGTGTCCCTAAACCCTAAAGCCCTGAAACTCTAAAACCCTCAACTCCTAAACTCCCAAACCCTAAAACCCCAAGCCCTAAAACCCTAGGCCCTAAAGCCCTAAAGCCCGAGAACCCAAACGCGCCGCCTCAGGCTCGCGAGGTGAGCCATGGAAGAGCTCACCGGCGGCGGCCTGGAAACAATCCGGTGAGGGTTCGGGGTGTAAAGGGTTTAGGGTTTAGGGTTTAGGGTTTTTGTTTTAGGGTTTAGGGTTTAGGGTTTAGGGTTTAGGGTTTAGGGTTTAGGGTTTAGGGTTTAGGGGTACATAGGCTAGGACCTGGAGTAAGGCCCTTGTTCCCTTTTTAAGGTTTAGGATCCCTTATAATCCCCTTTAAAGAAAAAGGGGCCATCCGGTGAGGGTTCAGGCAGCGTAATCGGGTTGAGGGGTACGTACATAGGGCAGAGGTTGGAATGTTCCCCCCTTTTTCTAACAGTCCTTATGATAAGGATTATAGCAGAGGGTACTAGAATCCCTATTAAGGACTCTTAGTATAAGGGAGAACGTCCCAGATAGGGCCTGAGGCGTATGGGGTTTAATGCTTACAAATCGTCGGGTTCAGTGCTTTTTTGGGCATCTGGGCCTCCTCAACCACGTACAGTCGCCGTTGTGGTCCCTATAGGGTTGTGGGTTTAGGGTTTTGGGGTTTAGGGTTTAGGGTTTAGGGTTTAGGGTTTAGGGTTTAGGGTTTACTGTAGGGTTTAGGGTTTAGGGTTTAGGGTTTCCTAAGCTACTGCAGTCCCAAAACCTTATAAGCTCAAGACTCCACGGTCTGATGCCTTGAAGATCAACGAATCCCATACCAGGAACAGTCCTTGTGGATCCTTAAACCCCTCTGGTCCGCTATGCAGGGAATGAGGGAATTAGGGCCCTATATATACCCTTTAAGGGACTATATAGGGAACCTCATTCCCTCATTGCCTACTAAGAACCAGCTAGTAAATCGGGTAGTCTCTAAATGAGGGCTTGGGGCCCTTGTGAATATTTGAGGGGTTGCCCGATCGCCAAAGTTGTATACTACGTTGAGATCCCCCAAAAGGACGGCCCAATATAATATAGGGTTCGGAGTAAATACTAATAGTATTTCCTCATGGTACCTTTATACGTACAACATAATGACCCCCCCCCCAAACACTATTCCGATGAATAAGGCCCATATATCACATGCCTCACCCTCAGGCTCAAGAAAGCACCCCCAACAGTGTCGTATAGACTGGGTGCCCACCAAAACCGAAAATAGGTACTCCTCTGAGCTTGAGGCAAGCCCTAAACCCTAGATCCTAAACCCTAAACCCTAAACCCTAAACCCTAAACCCTAAACCCTAAACCCTAAACCCTAAACCCTAAACCCTAAACCGCCCAGATGTCGTCAGCCTACGGCGACGGATGGATCCGGAGAGCCACGTCAGGGAGGAGTGCGCCCTGGGCCGCAATGAAGAGTTCCCTGAACCCGATGTGGGGTTTAGGGTTTAGGGTTTGGGGTTTAGGATTTGGGGTTTAGGGGTTGTTTAGGGTTTGGGGTTTAGGGTTGGGAGTTGAGGGTTTAGGGCCAAGAACCCTCTGCCCAGTCGTGGTTTAGGGTTTCGGTTCCAAACGCTTCAGGGTTCACAAGAGTGGTAAACCCCAAACCCCAAACCCCAGACCCTAAACCCCAAACCCTAAACGCTAAACCCTAAACCCACTTAAGAATTGAGGGAGTTTTTGAGGGGCCTTCCGAAGCGCTCTACCCCTGAACCACCCTTGTGCTTTGGGGACTTTCAGGCACCAGCACATTTTAGGGTTTAGGGTTTAGGGTTTAGGGTTTAGGGTTATCAGGAGTATACTGCGCGCTTTCGTCTTGGTTCCCTCCTCTATTCCGCCCTATACGACCCCTATGCTGGGGCAGTATTTCGGAAGCTCTAAGTGAATCAGGGGTGCTCAGCTCTCAACCCTAAACCCTAAACCCTAAACCCTAAACCCTAAACCCTAAACCCTAAACCCTAAACCCTAAACCCTAAACCCTAAACCCTAAACCCTAAACCCTAAACCCTAAACCCTAAACCCTATCTTAGAGGTCCCAGGTTGAAGGCCCGAAAGACGCCTCGAGAGTGCCCGAGGCCGCCTTCGCGTGCCCTCGATGCAGCAACTGGCCCAGATACCGAAGGAGAGCCTGCCGCTTTCTAGGGTTTAGGGTTTACGGTTTGGGGATTAGGGTTTAGGGTTTAGGGTTTGGGGTTAGGGTTTAGGGTTTAGGGCAACGACTAAGGATGGGGTCATTGAATTCTAGGGTTCCGGGAGTTCGGCCGGCTTTTGTGACTTTGTTCAATGTTCCCTTCTCGGGTTCAGGGCTTAGGGTCTTACAGAGATATTCATGTTTGAGATTTCTTTGCTATGGCCCTTGTTCCAAAAAATGGGGTTTAGGTTTAGCTTACTTGGAATTCCCTGCCCAGAAGTCAAAGCAAATAGTCTTCAACCTCTTGGGTGGTGAAATTCCTCTAAATCACTTATAAGAGGACATCAACCCGCGCGGTTACAGCAAGTGGCCGCTTGAGCGCTTTGTGCGCGCCGCGTACGAGGGCGATGTGGAGCTTCTGAAAAAGATGTGGCTTAGCTGTGAGGGTTCGGGGTTTAGGGTTCAGGGTTTGGGGTTCGGGGGTTTAGGATTTAGGGTTTAGGGTTTGGGGTTTGGGGTTTAGGGTTCAGGGTGTAGGGTTTGGGGTTCAAGGGTTTCGGGGGCGGGGGGTTTAGAGTTTAGGGTGTAGGATTCAGGGTTTAGGGCTTTGCCGCGGGGTACAGGGTTTGGTGAATGGCTTCGGGTTGAACCTTAAGGCTCCGCGCGGCTCTGTAGACTTTGTTTTAGGGTTTAGGGTTTAGGGTTTCGGGTTCAGGTTTTTGGGGTTGGGATGTTCCCTCTTGTACTACAATAGGGGTTACCACAATCCCTATTAAGGACTGTTGGAAAAAGGGGGAACATCCCAATTTTGAGGGTTCTTGCCCTAAGCCTAACACCCACATGGGTTTTCTCTCCTAGGGCAGGCGGTCAGTCTCGGAGGAGAAGAGAGCTGCTAAGAGAAGCAGAGGCTTGAAAAGCATCAGGGTTTAGGGTTTAGGGTTTAGGGTTTAGGGTTTAGGGTTTAGGGTTTAGGGTTTAGGGTTTAGGGTTTAGGGTTCAAGGAATGTTGTTTTTTTCTGTTCTCGTGAGTCTGTCTTGGAGAAGATGTTTTGCAGCGGTTCTAAACAAGAACCAAAGCCCCGACTCTCCGAAACCCATTAAACTACAGCCCAAGTCCTGGGTTTAGGGTTTAGGGTTTAGGGTTTAGGGTTTAGGGTTTAGGGTTTAGGGTTTAGGGTTTAGGGTTTAGGGTTTAGGGTTTAGGGTTTAGGGTTTAGGGTTTAGGGTTTAGGGCTCTCAACCCTCAATCCCAAAACTTCGCCCTGAATCTGAAAGAAACACCAAGCCTTCTGGCAACCCCTATCCCTCTTGGTACCGCGAAAACCATTACTGTTCAGGGTTCAGGGTTCATAGGCTTTAGGCTTTAGGGGTTGCAGGGTTCATGGGCTTTATAGGGTTCATGGGGTGTTTTCTGGGTTTGTAGGGTTTGGACTAGGGTGGCTAGGGTTTAGGGCTAGGGTTTAGGGCTTAGGGCTTGAGACCCCAAAAAACGTGCTGGCCAGGCTCGATCGCGAGGACCCCATTGATGGCTACCACCATGACTTCAATGAGCATCACAAGCCCGATGGCCACTCTTTGTCATCTGTGAGGGTGTTTTACGGTTTGGGATTTAGGACTTAGGGTTTAGGGTTTAGGGTTGTGGGTATCACAGTTCATGGTACAGGCCTAGTGAGGAGCGTAAATCAACAGCAAGATCAATCCCTTGTAACCCCCACATAATTTTGTAGAAAAGAGCTACGCAGAATGCCCTTTCTCATTCGAAGGCCCCTGCCTTGGACTTTTGGGCCCCTGAACAATGCTTTGGCGCCTGTGAGGCTTCAATGCGCTGCATGTAGCGGCAACTGCCGGCCAGCTAGAGGCAGTGCAGATGCTGCTGGATGCTTCTCGGCTACATGGGCTTCTGGCGTTTTACCCTTTAATGTACCCGTAAACCCCTAAACCCCTAGGCCTAGACCCCTTACCCTAAACCCTCAGCCCTACATCCTTCTTTCAAAGTGGGTGGCTTTTGGGGCCACCAGTACACTTGTGCCTAAGAAGGGCGCCAATCACCCAGATGTTGGGTGTAAGGTTTCCAGGGGGTTAGGGTGGGCCTTAGCCCTAAACCCTACACCCTACACCCTCGGGTTTAGGCCTTAATGCAAGTCAATGATTTGAGTGGATGAAGCGACTAGTACTGCACCTTCAGCAAGAATCATGTATAAGGCCAGTCTCAGCATAGAAAAAAGGGGGGTGCCTCTCACTACTATACACCTTCAACCCTAAACCGTAAACTGTAAACCTTGAGCCCTAAACCCCAAACCCCAAACCCCAAACCCCAAACCCCAAACCCCAAACCCCAAACCCCAAACCCCAAACCCCAAACCCCAAACCCCAAACCCCAAACCCCAAACCCTAAACCCTAAACCCTAAGGTGGCCCCCTCCTTGTTAGGGCATCGCCCTGAAGCTTAGGAGGGCCCTGGCCACCAGAACAAAAGCTTTTTGAATTCACCCGCGGTTTCGGGCGCAAGCCCGGGTTTTAGGGTTTAGGGTTTAGGGTTTAGGGTTTAGGGTTTAGGGTAACCCCTACGATGCTAAGCCCAGTGCTAAACCCTTCCTAGACACTAAGAATTCGAAACTGTCTGGAGCCACATCTCTTCAAAAGCTCGTCCTTCAACCCAACTTCATGAACCCTAAATCCTGGCACCAAAAACTTGACCCTGAAAAGGTTTTGGGAAGTTTAGGGGCCATGGGGTTTAGGGTTTAGGGTTTAGGGTTTTAATTTCCCAAGAGCACTTGTGCCGTTGTCTAGGCGGGAGCCGACCCGCACGTCAAGCGGTGTATGCCCGAAGGCGCGCCCTTCGAGTTCTTCGTATACTCTGCCAACAGATAACTGTAGGCAGTTTGGGCTTCCTTGTTTTGCAGGAATGTCAACGTTTAGCCATTTTTTGAATCCTTGGTTTATTGAAAAAGTAAGGAGTCCATGAACTTATGCTCGGCAGCGTCTTCTGGACCCCTCCAAGTGTTTTTTTGGTACCTATCGTTCTCATGAGTTTTTTTCCGAGCCACAATCCCTAAACCCTAAAGCATCTAGGTAGGGTTCTAGGGCTTAGGGATTGGGGCCTGGGGCTTAGGGAGTATCGCCTGCGGCTCACCCCCGACACCCTGAGCCTAACCCTAAACCCTAAATTCTAAACCCTAAACCCTAAACCCCAAATCCCAAACCTGAAGTCGACCAGCACATTCATGCGACCAAAACTGCGAAGTCAAACCCTTACATATCGCGGAATACTCCTTGAATCGCAGCGAGAGAGACACACATATCAATCAGGATGTTCCGTTAAAGGGATACTTGAGCTCACCCTAAACACCAATCAACACCCTAAACCCTAAACCCTAAACCCTAAACCCTAAATCGTCTCCTGGCGATTCTGGAAAGGCAAAGATCCCAGGGAGGGCGAGACGGCGCGGGAGATGGCAGACAAGCAGCCCGACTCGCAGTCTCGCGAGGGTTCGGGGGTTTAGGGTTTAGGGTTTAGGGTGTAGGGTTTAGGGTTTAGGGTTTAGGGTTTAGGGTTTAGGGTTTAGGGTGTAAGGCTCTTAGGGTTTTAGGGAGGGATCTGGGTTTTTGAGGGTTCTAGGGTTCTGTAGTTTAAGTTGTGGGGTTTTAAACCTTTTGAGCTGAGTGCCAGGTTTTTGTAGGGATGGGATCTGGGTTTTTCAGGTGGATCGCATCCATGGCGAGTACCCAAAAACCCGCAAAACCCCCGAAGCCCTTCAAAAGCTTGTGAGTGGTTTAGGGTTCAGGGTTGCGGGTTTAGGGTTTAGGATTTAGGGTTTAGGGTTTAGGGTTTAGGGTTTAGAGGACTAAAACGCCTCAAAGCCCCAATCCCCTAAAGCTTTTTTTATTAACGCAGTACCTCCCCAGCACCCTGCCAAAGCCCGCGACACCAACCCCAAACAACCCCAAACCCTGAAACCTAGCCCCCCAAACCATACCGAATACTAAAGGTGCTGAACCCGCAATCACCTTGAGCCTCTAAGATACGATTGTAACACAAGCTGAGTCAAAACAATCAAAAGCCCAAGCTGGACACCCCCTAACTTCCTCACCAACTCACTAAACCTCAACCTACTCTCCACCCTAACCCTAAACGCCCACAACACCTGCAAACCCTAAACCCTAAACCCGAAACCCCAAACCCGAAACCCTAAACCCTAAACCCGAAACCCTAAACCCTAAACCCTAAACCCTCAACCCTCAACCCTAAACCTTCATCTAAGGCACGGGTGGGACGACATCGCGGCCTGGGCCGCACCGACCCAACCCTTAAGAAGTCCCATGAAGCCTCCAAGGGTTTAGGGTTTAGGGCTTAGGGTTTAGGGTTTAGGGTTAGGGCTTCGGACTGTTCAGGTTTTATGGGTGCCTCCCTCCCTTTCCTGGAGCTAGGACGGCAACCGCTTTCTGCCGCAGGAAGTGCCAGTGAGTCATGGTAGGGTTGATCAAGGGATTAAGACTCGCACAGCATGGTTGCACCACTAAAGCTTCGCCTATTTTTATTATTCTCCTGAGGATCTTTAAGACGGGTCCCCCAAAACCCATGGGTATAACCTGAAGGGTCCAAGGTAAAACCCCTAGAGTTGATGGTGCACGGCTCCATTCTTCAACCTCTGAGCCCTACTTAAGACCTACCTGCGACACTCAGAGAAGCAGTAAATACACATTCCCTCATCAAATTGCAGGGGTGCAGGGTGCAGGGTTTAGGGTTTAGGGTTTAGGGTTTAGGGTTTAGGGTTTAGGGCTAGGGTTTAGGGCTTAGGGCTTAGGGCTTAGGGCTTAGGGTTTAGGGTTTAGGCTTTAGGCTTTAGGCTTTAGGCTTTAGGCTTTATAGGGTTTAGGGTCTAGGGTTTAAGGCTAGTAAACCCTAAACCCTCAAACTGGAAGCGCCCACACACAAGGTGGCCCTGCTCAAGGCCGCAGAGGACAAGCGGCCAAGGGGGCTGTACAAAGAGCCTCCCAGCTCGCAGAGAGGGGTTTAGGGTTTGGGGTTTAGGGTTTAGGGTTTAGGGTTTAGGGCCACAGGAAATCCTAAACCCGAAGCCCCCCCCCCCCATCAGCTTCCCGAAGGTTGCGGGTTTATAGTGCTTACTAAACCATCTTCCGAAGCCCAATCCTTCCAACCCTAAACCCTAAACCCTAAACCCTAATTCCCCGGCCCTGCAGTCCCTAATCCCTAAAACCCCAACCCGCAAACCCCTGAACGCTATCAGCCCTGGAAACCCTAAACCTTAAACCCCAAACTGCCCTGAACCCTAAACTGCCCTAAACCCTGAACCCTAAACTGCCCTAAACCCTGCCCCAAACGGCCCTAAACCCGAAACCCTAAACCCTAAACCCTGACCCCTAAACCCTAAACCCTACACCCTGAAACCCTAACCCGTAAACCCGAAAGGTTCGGCCCCAACAACAACGCCAAGCTTTGGCCCATCGACCGCCCGGAGGGCCTCGATCCGGAGCAGGAGAAGCGACGCTTGGCAGGGTTTAGCGGGTTTAGGGTTTAGGGCTAGGGTTTAGGGTTTAGGGTTTAGGGCTAAGGGTTTAGGGTTTAGGGTATGTGAGGTTTGGAGCAATTTCAGAGTAGCAGCACCTCCAGATTGCGCAGGTGCGAAGGCGGCCTATCGGAAAATGATGAAGGGCCTGCCCAGCAAGGACCTTGCCATTGTCAAGAGGATGGGGGGGTTCGGGCTGAGGGGTTTAGGTGTAGGGTTTAGGGTTTAGGGTTTAGGGTTTAGGGTTTAGGGTTTAGGGTTTAGGGTTTAGGGTTTAGGGTTAGGGTTTAGGGTTTAGGGTTTGGGAGATTTAGAGGCTTTAGGTGCTTTGGCTTCGCCCTCAGGGCCCGAGTCCACAGTGGATTCTACCCATCGAGCCTGCCACAGCACCTCAAAAGCGTCCGCAGACCCTTAACCCTAAACCCTAAACCCTAAACCCTAAACCCTAAACCCTAAACCCTAAACCCTAAACCCTAAACCCTAAACCCTGAACCTCGCAGCAGGAAGACCGGCTCTTCTACGGGGACCTGGTGTTTGGGGTCAACTTTGGCACGGATCCACGTGGGTGCCTTCTGCGGCATCGCCACAGGTTCTGTTGGGTCTTTAAGTAAGTACCGCGATTTTGGGACACTAAGCCCTAAACCCTAAACCCTAAACCCTAAACCCCAAACCCTAAACCCTAAAAAGAGCTCTTAGAGTTCAGGGTTCAGGGTTCAGGGTGCCGGCACCTTAGGGTTTAGGGTTTATTAGGGTTTAGGGCACCCCTCCCCCCCACCATCCCACACGAAGCTCTGAAGCCTAAGGCGTAAACTCTATGGATTTTTGGGGTTTAGGGGTTTAGGGCTTTTGAACACCTTAACCCAAAACCCTAAACCCTAAGCACCTTAAGCCCTAACATCTTACGCCCCAGCCACAGCTTGCGGGCTCTATGTTTAGCTGCCAGTCTGGGGTTGACACACATTCACTTAAGGGGTAGAAGAAAGGAGACTCCCCTTTATAACGCCTACATATACCTTATTGAGTCCCTGTGTAGCTAGCCCCTTAAAAAGCCTGTGAAGAACCCCCACAATCCCTTGAAAAGGGTCCCTCCTCTAGGTCCCTTGATTCATCCCCTCCTCTACTACGATCCAAGCCCTCTCCCACGCTCCCTCCCATCCTATTTTTCATATCGCCCACACTGGCACAGAACATAAGTACTGTACCAGACTTTGAATGCCATCTATGCTTGGTGTTGGTGACGTTTTAGTTTGTGGGTCTGCATTCTGATCGTGCATCCCTTGTAGTGCTCATGACTCATACATCAAGCAGGTGCCTCTAGCAAGGGGCACAAGGGTTCAAGCCTTCTAAACCCTAAACCCTGTCCCCCCTAAGCCCTAAACCCCTAAACCCTGGCCCTAAACCCTAAACCCTAAATCCCAAACCCAAACCCAAACCGTAAACCTTAACCCCCAACCCCCCGAACCGTTGAACCCTGACAAAACAATCGTGGCGGCCTTTTGGGAGACTGAGGCGCCCCATTCAGAAGAAGGTGCCTCGTAGGGTTGAGGGTTTAAGTTTAGGGTCTTTAGGGCTGGGGATTTAGGGTTTAGGGTTTAGGGTTTAGGGTTTAGGGTTTAGGGTTTAGGGTTTAGGGTTTAGGGTTTAGGGTTTAGGGTTTAGGGCTAGGGTTTAGGATTAGGGTTTAGGGTTTAGGGTTTAGGGCTAGGGTTTAGGATTAGGGTTTAGGGTTTTTGGGTCTAGGGTCAGGCCCCCACTCTCACCTCCCCCCCTCCCCTCTCGGGAGCTGTAGCGAAGCACGGTTTAGTGGAGGTTTTCGGGCTTCGGGTTTAGCAGAGAGGTAAACACAGGGTTCAGCAGAAGGTTTGCTATAGGGTTTGGGGTTTCAGCATAGGGTTTCGGGTTTTGCTCCCGTGCTTGGCCGGATTAGGTTCTGTTCTTGCGGCCATAAACCCCTAACCCTAAATCCCTAAACTCCTAACCCCTCTACGCTAAATCCCTTAACTATGCAGGTTTTTTTGGTTTTAGGATTCCGGATCTTGGGATTCATCATTGTAAGACTCCTGATGTGATTGGAGTCGGACTCTGATTCAGGTGCTCCCGATATGGAGGAGGGGCCGTAGACCCTAGACCCTAAACCCTAAACCCTAAACCCTAAACCCTAAGTTCCCTTTTTGGGTTTAAGAGGATCATCTTCAGGAAAATGTTTTCAGAAGGGTTTTAAGGGCCATCCTAGTATGGTATATACCTGGGCCTTAAAGGGGGTTCCCATATAGCAGTTCTAGGGCCCAAGTATATACCATATAGGTACATGGACCCTTAAAGGGATTAGTTTGAAAACGCAGTGCTTAAGACGCCACATGCGGTCCAGATCGCTCTGGCACAGCGACTGGCGCAAAGCTTGCGAGCTCCGCGCGTGATTTTCTGATCATCCCGTGGCAAGGACCCTTCAAAAGACACATTGCCGGGCATAATGCTCACAGGAATCCACCGGCGAATGTCTCAAGAAAGCGGTCCGGGTTTTGAGGGTTTAGGGTTTAGCTCTTGCAGTGTTCATGATCCGGTCACCCTTTTTTCAACTCAAAGAGAGGACCCCCCCCCCCGCCCGCCCCCGAACCCAGCTGCGTGAGTTTGAACACCAATCTCTACCCGGAGCGACCGAAAGCAAGGTTAAGGGTTTAGGCGAGGGTTTAGGGTTTACGGGTTAAGGTTTTGGTTTTGGGTTTAGCCCCGAAACTGCCAAAAAAAAACAAAGTTTTGACTACGACCAGCATCCTAGAGGGCTCGGAAACCATTAAACTTCAATCCGAAAAACCCAAAACTCTCGACCCCAAGCCCAAACCCTAAACTTGGGATGTTTCCCCGTATAGGACTGTTAGTAGGGACTATACTACGCCGTGATTTTCTCCTATTCAGGACTGTTAGTATAAGGGGGAACATCCCAACCCTAAACCCTTAAAGACCTCAAGTCCAGGATAAGTAGAAGCTGTATGTGGTATCATGACGAATTTACAAAGTGCTTGTCTAAACAAGCTGGCAGCACGCAAATCCCGCTTCAACAAGGCTTCAAAAGCAAGAAGAGGCCCCAAAACACCCCCAAAAGCACCCGGCCAAACCTGTCGCCCAAGACCCGCCCAAGACTCCGGACAAAGACTCTTTACACAATTTCTATAACCCCTAAACCCTAAACCCTAAACCCTAAACCCTAAACCCTAAACCCTAAACCCTAAACCTTAAACTTTACAAACTTCGATCGTGGATTCGCCCCTGTTCGCAGAAGCCGGTCCTCAACGGGCTGCCTGCTGCGGAGGACAGCCTGAGGGCGCAGGCTCTCAAGCTTGGGTCTCAGTAACCCTAAACCCTAAACCCTAAACCCTAAACCCTAAACCCTAAACCCTAAACCCTAAGCCCTAAACCCCCTAGTTCTTAGTAGGTAATGAGGGAATGAGGGCCCTATACCCTTTAAGGGAGTATATAGGCTACTAAGAACCAGCCAGTACACCCTAAGCCCTAAATAAACAGGGTTTCGAGCTGAGGTTGTTACGAATATCCAGAGCCCAAGGCCCACGATTTCGTGAGCACCAAGGCTCCTACCCTGCATATCCCCCCACAAGCCTTGAAGCCTCAGAAAGCTTATGGTTTAGGTTGTGTAAAACAAGTAAACCCAAAAATCCTTAAACCCCCAAAACCCTAAAACTCTCTACCCCAACTCCAAGCGCTCAACCCGTAGGCCGAAGCCCTAAGCGCGTCACCCCGAAGCAACCCACTAACCCAAAGGGTCCATGTAGCTTATGATTATATACTTAGATCCCAAAGTCCTTATATAGGAAGTACTTTATTAGGCCCAAGTATCCATATTTAGGTACATGGACCCTTAGGGTAAAGCAAGTAACCCTGATCCTGGTTCCCGAAACCCTGAGTAAGTTTAGGGTGTCGGGGTCAGCGTGTAGGGTAAGATTTAGGGTTGCACTATAACGCACACTCTTAAGCCCTAAACTCCCTACACCCTGGGGACAAGCACTGAGCACCCTCAAATCCGTAATCCCAGTTCCAACTCCCTAAAGTTCTAATAACCCATGATTACATCCTACTATTGCAAGCTCTAGGCTCCACACCCAGTAGGCAGCAGCCCAGATATCAAACTCTAAAACTCGCAAACCCCCAATCCTAAACCCTACATAAACCCGAGACCCAAAGCCCGAAACCTCCCTGGAGGAGTAG